ATTGTACAGCTTCAACTATTTGAACTTGAACTTTTAAAGCTATAAGTAACTGTGGATCTGATATGGGCATATTGAAGTTTGGAAACATAGTGACCAAAACAGTTGCTGCATTAAGAGTTGTTTGTACAGTTCCTATGTAAGCGTGTTGGTTCTCAGTGGAGCGAGTATCAAGCAAGGCAATCCTTGAAACTGTAGGGAGACCTTTCTTCCGTGAAGGGTTAAAGTAAATCTAACAGCACCAAAGTGAAGATGAGTGTACCTTTCAGATAAGCATACTCTAGGAAGATGAGAGGGTAATTCTAGTGTAACAAACTGTTCTTTACAAGCAAAGTGACAGATTCTGCAGCAAATCTCGGTATTCTAGCCCACACAGACCTCATGTCAACAAAGGGCCTAACTTTTGGACTTACTGTGAACCTGTAACCCTGGACAGATCATATAATCAGTATAACACTTTCTGATGCAGAAGTTCACCATGAAGGTACACTTGCAGAGCATACTTATGCTTCTACTCAGATCTTACTCCATATCATTCAAACCTATAATTATCTCATACTTTCTAAAACCAGGAAAAAAACTGAAAAGTTTAGAAGAGCATGATTAGAACACACTGAAATTTTATTTCTGAATTTCGATACCTTACAATGGAGAAGAACTCCCCTTTTTATAGAGGAAGAAGAACATAACAAACAAACTAGACTCACACGTTTTTCCAACAAGATGGACATGCGACATTATTTTACACACATAGTACAGACTTTCCTGACTCAGCTTATCTTTCTTTTATAAAGAAAGATTCTTATTACAATATTATTGACAAATGGAAAAATGACTCAACAAATAGATAAACAACATTTAAATAAAGAAAACTTTAACTTTAATAAGGCAGGTCTTGCTTTAATAAAGTAAATCATATCATGATTTTTAATGAAGTGTCCAAATTCATTGAATCTTCTGGTCGTAGAGGCAAACCATGTTGATTTAGTCATAGTTCTTAAGTGTCTGTGGGTTCTTTGTCATGTGTTTGTAAAAGTTTCATGAGTTCTAGTTCATCAATTTCATATGGATCCTGTGAATCTTGTAGCATACTGTCATTGAGCTAAGGAAATGGTTTATTTTGTCGTGTCCTTGTTTCTGTTTCCATTGTTTTTTCTTACTTTTTTCTGATTGATTGCTAGACTCTATTTTTTCTTTTCCTTTTACGTGTCCTTGTTTCTGTTTCCATTGTTTTTTCTTACTTTTTTCTGATTGATTGCTAGACTCTATTTTTTCTTTTCCTTTATCCTTTTGTGTTGGATTCCACCAAGGGTCTGTACGTAGTTTATTTAAAAAAAAATTTATTTCTTTTTCAACATTGTGATTCAAGATGTCAAGAAACTCTTCTACAATTTTCATTTGTTTTTTTCTTAGCTGGCTTCCTTCAGGATCTTTCTCTGAATATCTGGATGTTTCTCCAAGACTTTGTGTAGGTCTTCCATCATACAGCTGTCCCCATTGATAATCAAATGCATAATCATACTCTGGGTCATTTACTGTATAAAATCTTCAAAGATGCTTATCTTGGAACTTCTGGATATCATTTACAATTCTTTGAGTATATTCCACTGGCAAAGCTTCCCATGGAGCATCATCTTTATAATTTGGCCAAATTTGTGAAGGAATAGTTTGATTGATTTCTGCCATTTTCCTTTGAAATTTTCAAAATTCATGAGCATATTGTTCCCAATTTTGATGCATGTTGAATGGTTGAACTGCAAACTCCTTAACATGGGAAAATGGTTGAAACATTTTTAAAGTTTCGAGATCTTTAAATTTCAAAGAAAATGCTTGAAACATATTTATCCAGTGAGAGATTGGATAGAACCACTCAAAAACCATTTTTACAAAATAATCAATGGTTCTAAATGGAAAATCCAAGTTCATTTTAGAGAATGTATCAAGTGTATTTGAAACATTAAAAGAAATTCTAATTTGCCAAAGTTCTAAAAGATACCACAAAAAACGTAGTGTTTCTTTTGAAACTTTCAGTGCAATGTGTTTTGGATCAAAACGGAAAAGTGTAAAGAATGAATAGTCTGGATGAAATTCAAGACCACCAAGTGTTTCAATTCCAGTCTGTCTAATCACAATGGATTGGTATTTGAGCATGAGATCTTTGGATCTAGATTTGAAAGTTTTTAGTTTTTATAAGCTCATTGATTTCAGGGGGAAAATGATCTAAGAAAGGAAAATGATTTGAACATTTTGAACTCATCAAAGTCGAAATTTAAAAATCATTCTGCCCATCTGAAAAGTTGTGAATTTGGAATTTGTTTTTTTTAAAAGAGAGCATCTTTGGAAAAGCTGTCATATCCATTTTTACCAAGAATTTGTGTCCAATAAGATGGAACTGGAATTTCTCAATTCCTCTTTTTACTGCAAGCATCTACTTGAAAGTAGAATGATAATGCTTTTCCGATTCTGTGAATGATCCACTTTTGTATCCACAAATTCGTTTCTTTCCATCCTTTTCTTCAAGCAATAATGCTGTCCAAAAACAATCACTTGCATTTGTTTGAAGGATGCGTTTCCCATTAGTAGGTTTTTGTAAAGCTGGAAGATCTTTAACCTTCTGCTTGATGGTTTGAATTTGTTGAGTTTGATTTGAAGACCAAGGGGGAGGATTCTGTTTAAGCATGAGCTGCAATGCTCTAATAATTGATGAAAGATGATCAATAAAATCTGCTATGTAATTAAAAAGTTCGAGAAATTGTTGAACTTCCTTTTTAGTCAAATTTTCTTCTAGAGATTTAAGAAGTTCTTGACCAACATGAGGCTATAATGAATACTGACCATCTTTAATGTCCATTCCCAAAAAATCAGCTCTTTTGGCACCAATCACCATTATCTTCTGAGAGAGCACGATACCATGATGCTTAACAAGATCTGTAAATCTAGAAACCAAATTGGTGTGAGAATCTTCATCTTCAGAGAATAACAAGATATCATCAATATACACTAAAGCTGTATCCAATAATTGATCAAGTATTCTTGTCATTGTTTTATGAAAGATAGAAGGCGCATTTTTTAAATTGAAGGGCATCACTGTCCACTGGTAATGATGGTTTGGAATACAAAAAGCCGTTTTGTGTCTTTCTTCAACTTTAATTCCCAGCTGCCAAAACCTTGCTTTAAGATCAAACTTTGAGAAAACCTTTGCTCGTGACAGGTTTGCAAACATTGTTTTCATGTCTGTAGGAGGAAACTTATCATCTTCAAGAAAAGCATTTAATAGCTTGTAATCAATAACCAATCTGAGTTTTTCTCAAACTTGTTCACTCCTTTTATTGACATAAAATGCTAGACACGCCCATTGTGAAGTTGTTGGCTCAATAAGACCTTCAACTTGTAGTTGAGAAAGTTCTTTTGTAGCTAGTTGAAGATGTTCTGGGTTCATTCCAAGATGACTGGCTTTTGTGGGGTTGATATCTTCATTTCTTTTAAATGGAAGAGAAATAAAGAAATCTGGGT